TTTCCGCCGTACCTAACTGGTTAACTTTATGAACAATCATGATTGCACTCAGACTGACGAATTAATTCAAAACCATTTACTTACCTCGTCGTCATTTCCGTTTTTCACTGGTCAGCCGACGCTGTACTTGGATTTTACGTCCAAGTTGACAAACCTATTTAGACTTGAGAGGCCAACGTCGGACAGCTAGTGACGTGAGTTGGAGAGGTACTTGCTGGAATGCAGGTGGGACTCATGCTAATCTAGCATAGAAATGACTAGATCGGATCAGTTAAGCTTCACCAGATATTTTAGCAATCGGTTATCACGCATGGTTAGTTTGTCGGGTTTCCTGTTTACATACCAGCATCGATTAAACGCACTCCACCTTACACTTAATCAGTGATCTGGTTCATATAATCTGCCTGAGATTTCCTTATTTAATAAGCCAACTGGTGATGTGGGAAGAATTTCTTTAGTGGGTCAAATTGGTAAGACATGTTTATGTAGCCGCTCATGATGGACACAATACTGTTGACCTACTTATTGACTTAGTTTGACTTGGAGTGATTATGTTGGCAGGGTGTTGCTGTACGTTGCGGTGTGTGTTCTGGCGGCGGCCTTGTTTCTTTGTTACTGTGTCTACCTTTCTTGGTTCAATGCCGGTGGTCCTTCTTGACTTTCGAGCTGTCATCTCCTTCTAATTTTCTTGTTGGGTGTTGCACGGTTAGGGTTTAGGGCTGCTGTTAAGGGCTAGGGTTAAACTTTTAGGGTAAGGGTTGTAGCTAGGGTTAGGGGTTAGGGTTAGGGACTAGAGTTATGGATTAGGGTTAATGGTTAGGTTTAGCGGTCAGGGCAACTATTCCTCAACCACTGATATTACAACTGCGCATTCCCAATAACTTTTCTTTTGCGTACTATTACTTGTCCTAGATGCCTGTGCGTTCCCGGTTCCCCTGTAAAGACGTCTATTACCATCGGTCCCGTAGTACAGGCGGTTGGGATTTTGTTTACCCTAGGTGCGGCTACATAACCACACCTGACCATCGGGTTTTCTGCTTCCATATTAGCATGCATTAGATGCCCTCTACCCTAAACTTAATCAGTGATCAGATTCATACACTCTACCTGAGATTTCCCTATTTGATAAGACAACTTGTGATTTGGGAAGCATTTTTTAGTGGATAGATATCACCAGTTAGGCGAACGTTTCCAGTTCTACCCCGCCACCACCGTTCAATGGAAGATTTGGGATGGATCCCGACCTCCCGCCGGATTATGAGTCGTACAATTAGATACAGTGGAGTTTTACCAATGGGATTTAGGAGAACTCACAATGTTTCTATCTGCTTTCTGAACTCCCTTTCCATCGCTTCTTATGCGAGTTTAGTCCTCAGCACTTTGAAGTCAACTGGCATAATCCGGTATATGAGTTGGTTTTCTCATGAACTACAATGATCATCCAACAGCTCGCAGATAACGCACAATTTTCGCGAAGTGCGCATGCTACGCAGAAAATCACGAGACCAATCAAATGCGAATGAAAATAAGCCAGAGGTATAACTTTGACCCACTTAAGAGATCGTAGATGGTGCACACGACATTTTCAATCTTACTAGTTAAGTGAAAGCACCGTACCCGGAAACGCATGTTGTATCCAGCTGGTCAACGTTCGGAATTCTCCACGCCCTCCTCGCAAGTCCATCCACATTTGACCCCTATTGACATTTTCCTTCCCCTTTTTATAAACCCCCTATCGAGCCTGATCGGCGTTCTTTCAATTAATTAGTTTTTGTATTCTGACCTTGAGCTGCGAATTCGAGTTGCTCGAACAGTAACAAAAGAATTCTTTGTCTAGTTTATCCATTATTGCGCATTGTACGTTTTTTATTATTACCTTATTTTATCAATAGTACCGTATATGCACCGAAATCACTTTTGGCTTATACGCGTGACTAACTTCACCAAGAATTATACAGCAAACATGCAATTTTTTTGCCTGGCTTTACTTACTAAAACTAACTACAATTCAGCTCATTCTAAGCTTCCAATATGGGATGAGTTCGTGAAAACACTTTTTTTGCATTTTGTGATCTCAAAAAACCAATGCAAATATTCTCTAACCCCTAACGACAACCCCTAAACATAACCCACAACACTTATCCCTAACCCCAACCCTAACAGTAATGTGTCCATCAGGTTGGGACTATCAAACTACATCTTACCTGTTAATCTCCTATTGGGATAACCTGACGACTTGGAGCAGTTAACGGTGAATGTTCGGTAGATAATTTTTACGAAGTAGCTGGAACTTATATGCCGTGATTGCGAACTCATAATTTCCATAATTTTCTTTTTCTGATGGGGTGGTCAAGACTTCCACTCAGGCATTTTGAAGAGTGCGTTGCCGACACCCATCATGGCCGTGTCTGGCGTCCTTGTTCAAGGCCTCTTTGGGTCAAGGTCATTCATCCTCGCAATGAGCGATTCCGGACACGCTGACCCACAGTTACTCGAGCAACACGCGCCCAGCGAGTCGCAGCTGCCCACACGCCACTTGAACATACCAACCCCCCCCCCCCCCTGCGAATGCAGCACAAGCAACTCAAACACCATCATTCGACAAATCAACGCACACCTCAGATTGCCCCGCAAACAGAGAGAAGCAGCTGCCACTACCACCTGACGACATGGCTGGAAGCAGTCGACACTAGCTCTGGCTTCGCCAGTGGTGACTGCCGCCTGAGAAGACAACCAAAACTGGTTACTTCTGTTTTCTTGTGACAAGTCAAGATTTTGCTGACGATTGCAGTGCACTGAGTATAATCACTCACCGCTTAGCTGCTACAAGCACTTCCTGTATCAACCACAAGACAAAACAATTATTTAAACTGTATTACCGAAGAAGGCGGGTTCGGCTATGCAGGCGGAATCCTTTAGGTGGTCGTCGCAGAGCCAGTTACCGGTGAGGACGAGTGGCACATCGGGCAACGTCTCAATCACTGCCTTCAGTTCCGGATGGTCGGTAAGGTCGAGGGGGTCGTTGCAGGAGTCACGAGGGCGCTCGCATGCCTGTCCGCCGTAGGCTTCCTTGCACCGACACACTGGCCACGGAGAGAGCTTTATGAATTGGACGGCTGTCTCCTCAGAGGGTCCCTCGTACGTCCTATTCACTTTGTAATAGCACCTAGGGGATTTAACAAACACCGTCAGTCCAGAGGTTACAGGCACCCAGTGTAGCAAAACGCGTGCGAGGCATACTTACGCTGACGTGCCGTTTTCATTGCAGAAGGTGGAAATCTCTTCCTTTGTACAGGCTATGGTGGAGTTGTCTTCGCCATCACGTAGAGTTTTGAGAAATTCAGGCAGAGGATTACAGCGTGGGAAGACACCGTCAGCAAGACCGCCGGATTCCGCTTTCCACTCATAGGCTGACGACTCGCAGAGACATCTGTGATGGAAAACAACGTGCGTGATTGGAAATTCCAGATTAGATTTCACGTCTTCGTGCCCCGCTGCTCCCGTGGCGCTGTCTGTTCATAATACTATTGTCATCAAAGAGAGGGAAGGCTGTAATGGACTATTTCTGGCATGTTACTCACCATCAGCCAGCCATACCCAACCCCGTGGCTCGATTCGGCGACCCATCTGCCAATCCCGAGTTTTTAAGACACCCTGACACAAAAAACAGCGCGCATGAAGGCTACCACGATTACCTCAAAATGTCCATGAATACTTGTCCGGTAATACAGTGCGTGACCAATCTCATGAAATGATGGCCAGAATTCTGGAATGCAGTTCCGATTAGTAAGGATTACTTAAGCGGGGTTGTTATACTGATTATCATGCAGCATAATCCTATCACATTTCAGACTTGGCAGGATATCGGCTTTTTAATGCAATTCTGTTTGAACTCCTGCAGAAATCACACTGGGTAAGAAATGACTACTTAAGTAGCATGCATTTTTCCTATTGGTTTTCGATGGTCTTATAAATTTAAATATAGTTTACAGAAAACATGCACAAAATTATGTTTTATTTTGCTCATTTGGTAGGAACACACATTTTCTTCATATTTTATGCCTGCAAAAGTGTATATTTTGGTTTTAAAAAGTTTTATAATTACAACATTTTTAAGACCGTGCAATGTCCATGCATGCAAGACCCCACATGTTCGATTACTAATGCTCCTCATGAAATGTACAACATAGTCCGACTCCATTACAAAATTTCAGGAACTCTATGTAGTATCTTCTTAAATGCATAGAGAAATATATGATTTTCCTTACGCGGAAAGCATGCACCTTGTAGAATGCAATCGCTAAACGCTGATGTAATGACAGATCATGTGGAAAATTATTCAGGAATTAGGAAACTTCTTCAAAACCTGAATATACAATTTCTTCGGGCATAAAATACAAAATCAATTTGATTTCCTACCAAAAGAGAAAAAGAAAGCTTATTTTGTGCATGTTTTCTGTAAAATATATTTGAATTTATAAGACCATCAAAAAAAGTGGGAAAAATGTATGCTACATAAGTAGTCATTTATTATCGAGTGTGATTGCTGCAGGAGGTCAAACAGAAGTGCATTCGAAAGCCGATATCCTGGCAAGTCCGAAATGTTATAGGGTTATGTTGCAAGATAATCAGTATTACAACCCTACTTAAGTAATCCTTCCTAATCGGAAACGCATTGCACAATTTTGGCCAACCTTTTAATGAGATTAGTCGCGCACTGTATGGCCTTCGCCATTATTTACATTTTGGGAGATATGAGAGTCGGATCTCATTTTGTAGCCGTATCTGCAGTAGACAAGTTCCAACCTGACGCCTAACCCTAACTCCTAACCTCGACCCCTAACCTTAACCACTCACCCCTAACCTTAATCCCTTACCCCTACCCCTAATCTCTACCCCCCCAACCCTACACCCTCACCCCTAACAGGTACGGCAACGAAAATGATCTTGACGATATGAGAATTCCAAAACCTCATTTAGAACGGAAACAAGTGAATCGGCCACTAACTTTTACCGCTGACCTTAATCCCTCACCCCTAACCTTAGCCTACAACCCCTAATCTTAATCCCTAACCCCTACCCCGAACCTCTAACCCTTACCCCTAATTTCAACCCCTGACCCCTGCCAGGTACGGCAACGAAAATGATCTTGACGATATGAGGATTCCAAAAACTTATTTAGAACTTAAACAAGTGAATTGGCGAAATTCTTTCCGTACGTGTACATTTAAAATAAACCAAATTACGGTGGCAAAATAGTTTTGCTTGAAAATCAGTTATTGGTCTTTAAACGTCAGACTTTTGCCAACGCTATTCGACCTTGTTTACGTTGAGTAACCAGATCCCCTGAGGCTGTCTTTTAGTGGGCGGAGGTACTGCAACGAGACAAAAAACGACGCGGTGGCTTAACTAAAACTCGCGAAAAAATGGCGTGAGAATGGAGGAAAACTTCACCGGAGGAAGTAAGTTAATGCCTGAGCCGTTACTGTCAGGAGGAACCGTAGGTAAGTATTCAATTTTTTTCTTGTTCCTTCATATTCTCACTGATGGCTTGATTATACTAATTACAACACCCTTTTCGAGAATAAACTTCAGCCTTAACAAGCCGAACTAGTAGATGTGAATGCCACCGAACAAAAACTTGTCCCCTCTTGCTACTCGTTAGGTTTTCACATTAGACTATTCATTCCAAATGACGTTTGCCCTTACCGTTAATTTTAGAAACATCGAATCCCTCTTCAGACACTAAAAAAACAACACTTTTGTCTGAGTTAACTGCTCAACAAACCTCTCTCTTATGTCTGTGATTTGCGAAAATTTCCAAGATAAGCTGTCGAGCCTTTTTTGGGCAATCAGACCTTTTATTTCAGACATCCAATAAAACATCCCTTTGATAGTAGTCGCGACAGTCCCAGAAGCCGCTCCCTAGTCCGACGGCGACTTTATTGAAGCAGCGTGTCGGTTTATGGAGTAAGAACAAACAGACGTTTACTGATATGAAAGGTTCACCCTCAGTGTTTTATAGTCTGTTTTCTCGGCATCTGATACGAAGTGCTTGATTTTAAAATTAAACAACTAAATGGCCCTTTGGAATGTAGATTTTACGCTTATTCTTTAGGCACCAGTTCAGCAGAGCCCCTCGAACACGGCGCCAAAGTCAAATCTTATTAGAGCATTTGTGCCGTTACAAACGTAAGTGTAAATATAGAGTCTTGGGCCGGATTATATTTGGCAATATTGTGAATAAATCAATTTTCTGGAGACGAACTGAGAAACGGAAACGGGTTGGTCTTGTTTTGTAAACGTCAGGTAGTATGCTCTCGAATAGGTCTCCCGCAAGTCCTCAGCTGTCGGTGTCAGAACGTTTTCGGTGCATTGCGCAGACCCGGGCAGGGAGGTTCGGGAAATTTGCCCCTTGCAAGCCAGTCCATACGACAGCAGAAACTTTCGCTTTCTTACATTCTTTGCAGACCCGATAGTAGCCTTAAAAACTACGGTGATAGCGTCTACGCCAAAGTAGGACTGTTTAACATGACGGGAAGCCTGCCAGCGCTGTTAAGCAAGAAGATAGTGGTTATTTTTGGATAATGTAATGTTATCAGCCAATTACAATCTTATCTCGGGTTAGGAAGGCTGGAATTTAGGCGTGGGTGGTTTTCAATTCCAGCGACGCAGCACTCATACATCCACCCTCCTCAGTTGGGTAATGGTGGGGATCACGCAACGTTTAGGGGGACTCAGCGTTAGTCGACCCATCTCTATCCGAGGATGGAATACGGCCACATGATTTTTCTTTTGAAAACCTGCATAAAGTATCCACCAACGGTCGCGCCAGGACGCATGCACACTAATCCAGCCAGTCATACCAACACGCGAAGTTGGGAAGACATGGGAAATGAGCTTTAAATGATCACCGCAGTGTGTTTTGTCCTCGATTTCTGATTGGCCATACATGTACGAGAATAGTTGAGCACTAAAGCCTAAAGTTATGAGTCAAAGCGGAGCTCATGTATGCTATCCGCCAATCAGACTTGATCGGTGAATGCCACCCACATGTGATTTCAAGTGCATCTGTCATGAGCGAAGAGATTCGCTGCTGTTCCTCAGGGAGACGCTGAGGTGACTTGCGCGTCAGGTCGTTTACAGCGAAGTGGACTCGCAAGTCCCCGCCTGTCGTATTGTGAAGACGAAAAGTCAAGACGGCTGAGGATAGGCGTGAGTGATGTGACTGGCAAGGATAAAAACCTGTCTACGCGCGCCACACACGACCTAATTCCCGCCTCCATTTGCGCCGGACTTTGTCTAAAGGAATCTTGTGACCTACGCAAATGGGAGCGCCATGTGGAGTGAATCACGTTAAGAAGGAGTTTCCGCGATCATCCCACACCTCTTTATCTTCCCTTCCTGGTGTATCATTCGCCTCTCTAACTCCGTTATTGATCTGTAGCTACTTTTGAGTTCCCATTAAACTCCTGACATATTTGCAAAGGACAACAGTTCCGAACACACACCGACTCCTCATAGTCCGCCTAACGGGTGCCATGCGCTAATGTCGTCCCCGTCCTAAGCACAGTCTGTTTGGGGTGGAAATGTACCCAGGACTCTTAAGAGAAATTAATACTGATAAGTCCATTTATGATATTTCCGTTGGAAAGAAACTGCATTTATTGGGTCCAAGTGTCCCAGATATCAGCCAACAAAACGCGTATTCTCAACTTTTACTGATTTCTCCCACGTACACAGTAAACATTGAGGTGCCACTTGGTCAGCCTTGATGCAGGTCGAATTAAAAGACCAAATGACAAGATGCGCGAATGAAATCCAGTTCACTAAACTACTGGACGCTTTGTTCATTGTTTATTCGCATTCTCTGAGTGATCTGTCGAGGGCAGCGTGAATCATAAGAATGACTGTGAGGCGTCTCGCTAGTACATGTGACTGCTAAAGTACATTTTAAATTTGTCTGGCTATTTGTTTACACGGAATCTCTAAGAACCGGCCAACTCCGATCGCATACGGTGTCCGACAGTGCTGTAGAAGGCCGAGAGAAGATATTGGTTCTTGTGGTGGAAAATTTCATCTGTTGAAAGTAACACCAACTGATCGATGGATAAACGTTATACACAGAAAGGCATTTAAGAATAACAGTCGATTTTCTAATCTGCTAACAGGGTACTGCAGTGCTCAATGCAGTCGCCGTTGACAGACCCCTTACGCACCAAAATGTACATTAATATCGTGTACGAAATTTGACCATATAATAAAAATTAACTTTGCGTGTCGAGATGACGGAGGTCGGTGAAAGTCTCACAGGTCAATAATCCGCAAAAAATACCCAGTTATGTGAGGCACCTAAAACATAAATTATTAGGGCAGGAATGCCAAAACTTAAGAGAATTCTGCAGGGATAACATACCAGCGGCTGAAAAGAAAATGTTGGCCAAATTACGTGCCAACACTCTAAAATCGTTTTGAAGCATCACACGTGAGGTGTGATCGGTAAGAGACCGACAAATAACACAGAGAGCGTGATGTGATGCTTCCAGCTGAATCATCGGAAGGTGCAACTTTACCTAGGTTTTAGGCTTTCGAAAGATAGGAACATTTAAGTATATCTATGACATTAATGGATGTGGAAAGTAAACGAAAATAAATTACAAGAGTAATTTATGTCGGCTTCGAATGCAAATATTCCCAATTAGATGATGTTTGTACTTCTCGTAAAAACTGGCCAAAATCTGTTTCTTGCATTGTTTCCACTTACATTCAAAAGCACTAGAAGCATATGCTATTGCTCTCCCCAAAGAATGCCGGGAGTTCCGTTCTGTATAAAATTTTTACGCAAATTAAATATTCAAGAAATGTGCTGTCCGGAAATATCGAAGTATTCACATGATCGACAACTCGCATAGCACTTTAAGCATAATCAATATTTATGTGGAAATCGGGTGTGCGATCAACAGACAGTTTCATTGTGGCTATGAAAGCGATACTGACAAGGACTACGGTGACTGGAACGACCATTTCTGTCTTATGAGCCATCATAAACCAACCGCATTCATTCACATGTCTTTGGAACATCTGGAATTCTAACCGGGGCACGTTTAACTCATTAACCAAATATCCTTGGCTCGAAGCGCAAGTGTTTCAAAAACCTGGATTTAGATATAGGTGGTGTACCACGACCAGTAAGCTAAGAATAAACATTCCAGTCTACCTCGTCTGCGTCGGTTTTCCTTCCAGCATAATCGTTGACTTTTGAACTCACACGGCTTCCTAGAGGGTTCGTTGAAGCTGTCATGTAAAACTTATTTCATTGAAGTGAGTAAATACGCATGCAAAAGGTCAGTACGAATGTTAGGTACCAGAGGAAATATCTGATGTAATTTACGAGTTATCTATTTTTGGAAACCGAAATATTCCTTTCTACCATGCAAAAAGGTAAGTCAATTCAAATGATTAATCAAACCAAAGGGCATTAAACAGTGCAGTGAAGTATTGCGTTTTCGCGCAAGGTAACCCGTCACGCTGAAAGAACATGTGAGTTAAGCATCTCTGCACGCATTCTTTTCAACGCATTACTTTCAAAGAAACCTTGGTAAATTTCATGCTTATTACTACAAAAGCAGTCTTGTGTTCTGTGAAAAGTGTTTTGTGGCAGCGAACACCTCAACAGTTGACTGCGTTAATAGATCCCCCACCCCCGAGTAGGTATTCGGAGGTAAAAGCAAATCACAATTCAACATTCTTACGTGAACTCGTGATCAAATATTCCCTTTCCGCGAAGTCTGCATGTTCCAGGCACCGCGAACGGAATCTGCGCACAGACATCAACCGCCTCGTGAACAGTAGGCAACTGAAGGTAGCTCAGTCTTAGCGAGGAGTTGGACATCGCGACCGCCTCCCACAGAGGGGCATCCCGCACTTGACAGAGATTAGGACAAATGCCATCCACGTCCAGCTCACTGTCCGCCCCCAAGTAACTGCAGATAACCTGTGTATAAGTCGCAAGCAGGTGCGAATAACTGAAGAAGAAGGATGCGCAATCGTCTTTCCGGTGGGCGTATTGGGCTGAAAATGAGTAATGCAAATTTGTGTAGCATCCAGATGTCTCAAATTCGCATTCATTCGTGCAAAGGAGAGTCGCACTGAAGCTGAATCAGTTGTGAAAATATTATCACAGGTAGTCGATGTGTGCCTTAATTATACAGGAGAAATAATAATGCTTAAATTACTACCACGAGTCAGTATCCAGCGACACTCCAAAGTATTTAATTTTTATCCGCGTTCGCAACAGTTTCCGGCTTAGAAAACTCCTCAAGAATTTTAAAGCCGTTATATAAACTCTGTCAAAGTTAATTTATAAAAGTAGCTTTACCTCTGGGAGTTTACAATGGGCACCTTTTTGGCTTTGGGACTCATACAGATCAGGATCGCTCCATCTTACCAACAAGAACCCATACAGCAAATCAACCAGACTTTATAAAAAACCTACTGACCGACGGACACTCAACAGATTTCATTTTACATTCAGGAAGTCAGCCCACCTACGCGCAACTTTAACGCGCCAAGCCCGCACTGACGCGACAGTGATTGCAGTTCGACCGTGGCAAGCAACAAAGTCCACGTGTGCCGCACAAAGTGGCTTGCCCGTGCAATAGATTACAATGACGTAAGATTGTCCCCCGCATACTACAGTGCGTGACCGATCTCATGAAATGTTGGCCAAAATTCTGAATGCATTTCAGATTAGGAAGGAGTACTAAAGTGGGGTTGTTACACTGATTATCATGCAACACAACCCTATAACATTTCGGACTTGCCAGGATATCGGCTTTTGAATGCGCTTCTTCTTGACCTCTTGCAGAAACCACACTCAGTAAAAGATGACTACTTAAGTAGCATGCATTTTTCCCATTTATTTTCGATGGTCTCATAAATTCAAATATATTTTACAGAAACCATGCACAAAGAAGGAAATCGCATTACCTACACATTTTATACCCGAAGAAAGTGTATATGTAGGTCTTAAAAAGTTTATACCTATGAGATTTTTAAGACCGTGCAATGTCCATGCATGTACAAACGCACATGTCTCATCTATATCTACTACTAGTCGCTGTGCGACTGCCTGCGAGGGTTCTAGTATGAGCCCCAAGGGACAACGGAACGAGCATGTTCTGTAACCTGATCGGTGAGCGCCCACTATCATAATTAACGCACATGTCCGTTTAATAATGCTCTTCATGAAATGTGCAACACAGTCCGACTCCATTGTGAAATTTCATGAACTCTATGTGGTATCTTCTTAAAAACATAGTGGAATATACGATTTTCCTTACGCAGAAAGCATGATCCCTGTAGACTATAATCCTTAAACGCTAATGCGATGGCAGATCAGGCCGAAAATTATTCGGGAATTTGGAAACTTTTTTAAATCCTAAATATACATTTTCGTCGGGTATAAAATATGAAGACAAAGTGATTTTGTACCAAATGAGCAAAAGAAGGTATATATTGTGCATGTTTTCTATGAAATATATTTGAATTTATAAGACCATCAAAAATCAATGAGGAAATTGCATGCTACTTAAGTAGTTACTTTTTACCGACTGTGATTTCTGCACGAGGTCAAAGAGAAGCGCATTCGAAAGCCGATATCCTGACAAGTCGGAGATGTTCTAGGGTTATGCTGCATAAGAATCAGTATAACAACCCCACTTAAGTAATCCTTCCTAATCGGAAACGCTTTTTACAATTTTGGCCAGCATTTCATGAGATCGACCACACACTGTACATTCTCTTGCTTCGACCGCAAGACAGTGTAGAGACGAACAGAGGTGGGTGCCGAAGAAATTACCGGTGAAGTTCGGCAGGTCGTCTTCTCATGCCACATGCGACCCAGTTCCAAATGCGGATTTCCCAGACCATATCAAGAGTGGTTCAGAGTTCACATAGGTGAGAGTTTTGTCAAAGTCGCGTTTTAAAGGTGTCCTTACAGCCCGACCTTCAGTCCTGAGAGTGGCCGAATTATGTCCTCAGTTGACAGACATCCGAACCACGACTATTAGCGTGTCATGCTGGATTCCAACGCTTTCATCTTATTATTAGTGACCTTTGCGCTGGCATGCCGTGAGGAGCACACTCCTCGTCTCCTTCCAAGCACCAACTCCAACAGCGCTGTGGCAGCGCTGCATCGCAGGAGGGAGCTATGTAACACCCCACGAGCTGTTGTTTGAACAATGAGACACCTCCGGCGCGGACCTAGGATGGCGATAGTGTAATTGCATTTTGGTTAAAATAGTCAGGGCCCTGCCGCCGACCCTATTCTCTTAACTCGCCGTGACGTGTGCCTCTCTCTCTCTCTCTCTCTCTCTCTCTCTACGTCGGCACCTCCCTCGGCCCACCCCTGCAGTTGCTAACAGCGTTGGTTGTTAAGCAGACATGTCATTGTCGCCTCACCATCTAGATAGGTCACTCTCTTGCCGTATATCATCCCGTTTGTACAATTAACTACTACTAAATACAGTAAATGTGCTAGCTAATGAAATGTTGGCAAACATTCTGAGATGCGTTTTTGTTTCGAAAAGAATGCCTAAATAGGGTTTCAAAATTAATCAACATGCTGCATAGTTCCGTAATACTTCAGTTAATTTGGGATGCTGGTTTTCGACGGAATATCTTACCGACCGCATGCAAGAACCACACCCTGCAAGGAATGACTATTTGTGTAGCATGACTTTTTCTCATTGATGTTCAATGCCCTTAAAAAATTCAATTATATGTCATGGAAAGCATGCATAGGATTAATCATTCTTTTAATCATTTGGTAGACAATTACGTCTTCTTTAATTGTTATACTCGAAGGAAGGGTATAATTAAGTTTTCCAGTACTTTTCAAATTTCCGAATAATACTGAACCCGACCTACCGTTGCACCTTTATTCAGGGTTTTCAAATTACAAATCATATATTTTCTGCGTACAGAAAACCATACATTTCTCTACGGTATTAATAGGAGACCATATAAGGGTTAATAACCTTTTTCAGGGGATTTGGGCCATATCGTTAACGTTACAAGCCATACTGGTAAATGCAGAGACATGGCGTTTTATGAACGGCCATTTCACGGAATTAAAAAATCTCATAAGTAGACACTTTTAACACCTTATTATACCTTTCTTTCGTGTATAAAATGTGAAGTAGACGTAATTTTCTACCGAATGAGTAAAAGAATGACTATTTTTATGCATGTTTTCCATGAAGTATAATTGAGCTACGTTTGTGCATGCCTAATGTTTCGCCTTCTCTTTCCTATTGATAAGCATTGTAACGTGTTACCGACTCTATTCGCAACGATCTTGGTCAGGATCTATTCCCAGTGCTCCCTTACCTTTGGTGTGTGCTATCCTTGACGTCCTCTCACTCGCTCTCTCTCGCTCACATTCGCATGTGCCAGTCGACAGTTGGAGTCTATTAGTCAGACGGTGATGATATTGCGTGCAGTAGCAGACGAAGCTAAGGGTGCCGCGCGCGATCTGGTTCACACTTCAGATTTTCATGGATACAAGGAGGTACATGCTTCCCACTTAAGTGGTCCGTGTAAGTTCTTACATGCGAAGTTTAGACGACCAAATCCGCATCGACAAGGTGGATTGTATGCACAGTACAGGATTTGTGCACGACATATTCTCTAGAGGTATTGTAAAGAAGTAGTTTCGTGTGCAGCCTAGGCGTGCCTGCAGCCACCCGCAAATAAGAAGACGTAGACGCTGGCGCTGGAGACTGTCTAGTAATCCTGTAGCCGACGTTGATCCCCGGTGGCTCCTCACGGTAGGCGTACGTCAGGATGGCGGAGAACACGAGATGGAATAGGGCGGGAGTGTGTGCACAACCCTGCTTCATCCAGTTTATCACCGCGAATGCTTTACAGACTGCTTCTTCGTCCGCCACGTGGGTCAACATCCCGTTCTGTTGTTATTAGACAGTTTGCGTGAATCACTTCGGACATCCGAATTTCAGCACGATTCCCCAGAGTTCACCTTGGGTCACTGTGTCCAAGACCTGCATCAGATCCACGAAGTGGTATAGAGGCTGGACCACCCATTCTGGCGATAGTGACCGGATCAGTAGTTCCCCAGTGTCTCTCCAATCCTCCCATTTGTTCCCGGAAAGGTTTTTTGCCTCCAAATGCGTGGTCAGTTGGTTCAGTAGGACCCAGGCACATTTCCTCGAGCATTTATGTAACCCTGCCGGTTATTGGGGGGAGCAACGTATCTAATAATAATTTTGGGGTTCCCTCGACGTCCTGTGCTTTCCCATTGGACAACGTCGCGCCTCTGAGGTCCTTATTGGTGTCCAATTAAAGAAGTCGGTTGACGTTTTCTTCACAGATTACAGATGGTTGGTCGAGGAGTCCCAGGAAATACTCCGTTCAGCGCTCTAGAATCTAGGACCTCCAGTAATAAGGGTGTTCTATTTTAGCCGACCAATGGAGCTGTCCCCCTGGCTTTGAGAGGGAGGATTATTTTTATTTTGTGAAGAAATCCTTCCCAACACCTCTGTCGTAATATCCCTGGAACCCATTAACTCTGAATCTCACTCAGCCTTTGTCGTGCTACATTTCGTCATCTGTGATGCGTGCAATTATTGACGTCGGTATAAGTCCTGGGGAGATTCTTTTCGATGGACAATAAACGAGGAATTTCTACATCCTTCCATTTCGGTTATTTAAATAGCATCCTGCGATGGGTACGATATTATTAGCGTGAAGGCCGTTCTGTAAACGCATACTTTTCCCTGTTTAAGACTTTGATATTCCCTAGCCCTGAAAACAGCTTACGAAGATATGGGCATAGAGGAAGTTGATTTGTTTAATCGGGCATTTAAATCTGCACCTTTCGGAGCATTTGACATTCATCCAGCGACAGTAAAAATCTCCTGGGTAAGCTCGGACCAGAAACGATAACACAAGAATGTCATCTTTTTCGTCTGTTTAGTAAAATATGTGGCTCGGCTGATCAACTATTTTCTCCCAAAATGTCAATTACCCTGACTTCATGAATGGTCACTTCATGTGCGTGTTTCCGCGGTAATTGTCTTTTTTCTTAGGCCGCGGAAAAAGCAGGAAAATATTTAAAATTTTGAATGGGGAAAAAGCAAGTTATCACAGAAATATGAAGAAAAGGAGTCTGAAAACCACCAGTTTAGAAACGCCAGCCTCCCATATTTACGCCGGATGCTTCACCGCTGAGTGCTGAGAATCGCATCGACCTAGTCCCCGTCTGGCGTCTTATCCATATAATCGTCAGTCCTCCAGGCATAACAGGTTTAAATGCAAACGCAAAGTAAAACGTGGCTCAATAAGGCTTCGGAGGGTGAGGGGAAGCTGCTTCGAACAGCCGATAGGTGTGACTGTGAAAGGTGAAGGATGTAGCATCAGGAACCATTTTTTGACTCTTTTACCTAGTGAGACTTTTTGGTTCTGAGTTTTCCTGCTTTTGGTGACGTGATTAAGGAGACATGATAACTGAAATCTACATAATTATTTTCGATCACCTCCAACGTTCGCATTTTGCTTATTCATCCGTAAATATCTTTTTTCTCATACTGAATAGGTTTCTAAGTATTTTTCTTTTCACGATGGTTTTGCAAGTTTTGGAAATTAACGCCACGCTAGGTTTTCGCAATTTTATATGCTAATAGTTGTCCTGACCACATCAGTGCATTAGTGCGTGTTTTTCTATTATAGAACACTAATCCAAACAGAGATTTTTTGCCAAAACAAAATTCGTCTACTCAAGAACTGATTTTATCTCGCATAAATCAGGTAAAGCAGGATGTAAGAATGCACGCTAATTTTTTGGGAACGTAAATTTATTTTTCACTAAAAACTACAATTGGTTTTTTTTGCTCTAAAAAGCACCGATAAGGCTTATAGACCATTTTTTTATTTTTAGCGCACCCGTATTTTCATAGGGCATGCAAATATTCCACAAATAATCGCCAGACAACCCACAATCTTTTGCCATGCAGACTTTTAAGCACATGACAGGGCAATTTTTGCGGTCAAGTTTCTGTTAATACGTAATTTAGGAACAGAACTGTTGCGCCATTATCAATTTGGTGTGTGCCACTCCATAGTGATGCATTTATAATGATAAATGGGTGTTTGTCTGCATTAGAAAAACCGTCTGTACCTCTTAACTCACCACGTGATCGCACGAAATTTTCCCGTTCATTTGTTGAATAAATTTTGGGATATATGGAGGACGTGAACACTCATCAGTGGGATATCCTATTAAGGCAACTTCGAAAAGTTTACTTATTAGATAATATTATTTTAATTTACTAGAAGATCTCCATCGTACGCCTTTGTTACTAACGATAATTTTCTTTGGTGATTTAGTTATATGTTTAGTCGAGCCTACAAATGAGACGTAAGCAGTCGTCTGCATAAAGTCAGATGCCTGAGAACTCATTGATTATACGAACGCTCTAAAGAATTATTTCATTTCGAAGGTTTTGATAGACAAAATTAGTGATTCCACGTTTATTTGACGGCTGACTGAGAACAATAAGAGATGTGTATTCCTCTCTAGGATTCAGTGACATCTGGAAACTCAACGAACGCCGTCGTCGCCAAAAGCCATGTGGCGATTTTATCGAGGGGAGCGTCTTTTGCTATACAGATGCCTACAGCTGCATCCGCTAAATTTACTATAATTTACCAACAGTTCGGACTATGACGGGTAACAGATGTCCTAAGGACGTACTTATCGACTAATGGGTCGCTGATATTGAGACCATGTCCGATTCTGGACACGTTCACTGAACCTCTATTTTGAATTGACACTCAGTATGGTGTTATCGCCCGTAGGGTCTCTAATACAACTGTTTGCTGTTCACTGCTAGGTCAGAACTACTCTTTAGCACCCTTAACATGAGTATCATAAACGAGGTCCTACCTGTAGGTTTATGGAAATAAAGGATTCCGACTTTTTGTATTTGGTCCTACATCCCTTTCGTATTTCAGACTTCGATAATGTGCATGCACTTAGCAAACTGCGACTACCTGAATTTTTGCACCGAGACGTAAGATAGTAGGCAATACGGTAGATGTCTACGAAGAAGGCCAGAAAGTATCTGGGTCGCTGCAGCTCTGTGTAGGCGATAACTTGTTCTGGCGTGAATTCAGCCTTTGAGACGTTTGTCCGTCTACCTGGTTCCTCCAGACGTATGTCGTCGTCCGTAAGGAAGACGGGAGTATTCACATCTCGGACGTACTTATGTAGGAGATCATCAGCCAATAAATAAGCTGGCAGTGCTTCGGCGATTGTATGCATAGTTGTCAGCCCGTGCTCCTAAGTACGGTTGAAACAAAATCCAAAGGTTAGCAAAGCCGATGTCGTACTACAGCTAGATCAAATTATGGTGAAGTTAACAAGTATACTGTTAATACGTTTAATCAACTGAAGAACTAAAACATAATCAAAAATATGCCCCGTAAAATTGCCCAGCTGTGTAGACATGAGTTTCATCATCAATTGGGCATTTTCACAAGCTACTGATTCGGAATACTGACATTGACTAATAATGATGACCTATCGCAGAACCTGGAGAGGGGGGGGTATTTCTACTTTGTCCCACTACGTCTTGGAACAGAGCTGAAGGCCCACGAACCAGCGACCACACTTCGTCAACCATATTTGACAGGCGGGCTAAACCAGATGAGGGTATTCGGTGTGTATGTGTTACTACATGCGCTAGTCCCTGCACCAACACCCCCACTCCTCTCCCCACCATAGCAAAAGTGTCCTACGGCAATCCCATAGGTTAATGCGGATAGTCTTTCCGCTGTACCAAAGTCGTGGTCCGAGCCGAAGTTCAACAGCTACGCAGACTAGCTAGGGAATCAAATTTAGGAACGCTGCGCCTTCCGGGGAGAGGTTGTCGCGGCTGCTGAGGCCGTAGGCAGGACGTAGCCACTACGGTCTTCTAGATTAGTCCCGAGTAGAAAGAAGAGATGTTGGACTGCAGCTGAGAGGGTAATGCTTTCTGCACAGAAAGATTAGGGAACCAGTTAAAACAAGCTGGCCGCTGGACGAGAGAACCCCCCCGTCGGCGTGACAACGGTGACCCGAGTAGCACTGGGGAATGCGCTACGACAGTTCTACCGTCCATCATGAGCTACACTGCAAGGTGCGGCAGACAAGGTGACTTGCGTGTGACTTTGTTCATACTGATATTAGACTTGCGAAGCATCTATCGCACTCTGACTTTCCCGCTGCCTACTTGGAGCCGGTGTCAAGACAGAGTCAAAAGGACCGAAGTCGGAGGGGGGGCGCAAGTGGATGGCGCGTGGAGCCCGCAGCTTGGCGTGCCACTCCACTCCCGCTGGTCCACGCATCAAGTGACAACGTTGAATGTTAATGATAATGACAAGGGAGACTGGAATGGCCAGTTCTGGCTCATTAGCCGTCGTCAGCCAGTCATACCCAACCCCGAAGTGTAGAACACCTGGGTCTCGATCCCGCGACCTGTTAGTTAGAAGTCCAACGCCTCTAACCACTGAGCCACGGGATGGCTGACCTGCCGGTTTCGATCAGGAATGTACAGTGGTAGAGAGGCGCTGACCGATCGTTTTTTACGGAACTCACTCGTCCCGTTGTGCCTTATGGGCTCTCTCTCGAGCTCAACCAGCAGCCGCACAGCGGCGCATGATATAGGCAGAATGGCATTACTGACAAAGACAAGGGAGACTTAAATGACCATTTCCGGTTCATTAGACGTCATAAGACATAACGGGACGGGTGAGTTTTGTAAAAACGACCGGTGGGCGCCTCTTTACCATTATACATTCCCGATTGAAACCGGCAGGTCAACGATCCCGTGGCTCAGTGGTTAGAGGCGTTGGACTTCTAACTAACAGGTCGCGGGATCGAGCCCCGGTGTTCTACACCTCGGGGTTGGGTATGACTGGCTGACGACGACGACTAATGAGCCAGAACTGGCCATTCCAGTCTTCCTTGTCTTTGTTGGTAATACCAATCTGCATGTTTAGTTGAGTTCGATGCCCGTCGGCGTCAGAACGGCGACCAGAGTAACAATGGGAATGAGTCAACCTTGGAGATGATTGGCCGGTTTGCTCAGCCCTGATTGGCCGAGAATCAGACTGCCGCTGGTGCGCACGTGCAAGTACTCGCGGTGGGGGCAGCGTTGCGGTAGGCGCCAGGAGTAGGACCACTACCTGTTCACCAAAGAAGGGCTCAGGATAACGCCAATGCAAGCTCTAGGAAAGTGCCTCAAAAGTGTCTTTATGTTGTCGGCAAGCTGACTATGGCCTTTGGAAGCAAAAATGCGCAGTCGATCAACGCGCGAAAAAATAACAACTCCCGCTACTATTGCCGGACTTGTCCGCACTGTGCTGGAGTAAGCGCGCTCCCTCTGACGTCCGGGAATTTTCGCTCACGTATAGATGGACGATCAAGTTGATGTAAAGGATACGTTCTTCGAAAATCTCACGCGATTCCCCGCGCCGCGTCGTAGGCGACCAAACAGATCAGCCTCGGTGGCTAGAGCGCTCCCACGCGCACAAATCACGCGCCCCGGGAGGCGACGGCCGCGGCCGTGGCGGCCTTGGTAGCTGCAGCAATAACGTCCTTTTTTGCCGATCTGCAAGGAAGCCAACCTTCTAATCACCAAGACGCGAGGTATAACATGTCCGTCACAGCTCCGGAAGTCCTCGATTGCATACGTGGACTTGAAGATAACTACAACGATATCCGTTGTCTACTCTCCGGAGCAAAAAAACTGCACATGACTCAATTGCCCAGGACCGACTCCATCAAACTCGAATTTTTCCGATGCTGAACCCGAGGTAGATGGAAAATTAAAGGCATGGACTAAGAAACCTATGGATACAGAGACTGCGATGAGATGATAAACATCTCTTCGACCATTAAAGCTGTATGCGGTCTTCAGGCCAAAGGCGCTGTGCCACTGTTTTTCTCAGACAATGCATTTTTACAGTGGGACTCCGAACCGGCACTTCAGAGGCGTCTTTAACACACCGCACAGTCGCATCTGACGATGTCCACCGTATGCTCCACAGCAGGGCGGGAGCAGGGACGGTGACTTGTGCCACAAATTAGTTTATAGTGAGGGTAGACTTGCGCAGCATCTACCGCACTCCCGCCTCCCCTACCTGGATCCGGTGTGCAGACAGAGTCAAGAAGATCGGAGGCAGAGGAGGACGTAGGTGGATGGCATGGTCGAGCTCACACTCTGGCGCTTCACTCCATACCCCCTGGTCCTTACAACAAATGACTAGGTTTTTGCTCAACAAAAACAACAAGAATCGGGACGGCAGAGGTCTGCGGCAACCGGGTCTTCCATCGCACCCCGATAATGCCTGCCGGAATCCGACATGACCCACGTATTGGTCCAGCGCATCCACCATGTGGCCCGTTTTTGGGGGCCAAACACACACACACACACCAGTACATCCATGGTCCATTCGGACTTGTCCCAGAAATTTGAAGCATTCAGACCGCTGTTGGTAGCTTAGTTGTTTCAAGGACTTGCTCAAACCTTATCTCAAGCCGCGATTGCCAGGTTTCGAATTACACTGGTCTGACCACTTAACTTCATTCACACAGTACTACAGTGTCAGCACGCATAGGGGACTGTAAATGCGAGGTCGCTGAGTCCTGTGAGATTCATTAACTGAAGACTGTCCTCCTACATTGCATCCATTTGAAGGTGACAAAACGCACCTTTCTGATGACCAAAAAGTGAATTAAATGATGCGTCATTCTAGTTCGCCGATTTATATTACATCAATGGCACTCTGCACACAGCTGGTTTAATTGATCCAAATGTAGACGGCTGTTAAGCCAGAGAAAGGTATCAGTGCGAAACCATTTATTTCACTTCTGTCTTATTTGCTGTCATCGTTTTTCACCGTGCTAAAGGCAGTACTGGATTTCAGCAGTTTCCTAGACCTTGACGGTCAAATCGTTTTTTTTCGATTACTCGTCTTCCTGAGGCCGTCAGCTAAATGCATAAATCGAAGCTATACGCCGGAATGTGCATAGACAGTCCCACAAAAAGGCAGGACTTGTAGGGAGTATTACTGACTCATTAACTAGTCTTGCATGAAAATAAAATTAGTAATACAATGGTTTCCGAAATAGCAGTCGGAGTTGTTGCATAAACATATGCGAACGCTGTCAGGGGCTTCAACCCGAGTGGACAAATGATTTGAGTTGAGAGTGGAACACTAGGGGAGGACGCAAGTGGCGGGAGTTATTCCTTTGTTTTTGATTACCGATGCAATTGCCTTTAGGTCGGAATTTGTTTTAAAAACCGACAAATGATATATAACTGAATTTTTTACATCATTTGAGAGAGAGAGAAAGTCTGAATGTTTGCCTAAGTGGACTTATCCTTATACGAAAACGTCTATGAAGCTTATTTAATGTCTGACAAATTGCATTGTTGTGCTACGGACAACGGCTTTTTATTCGTAAAAACCGAAATTTCAGCAGCAAATGCTCTGGAATATTGACTCAGAGAAGTTAGTGTCGACAAATGCCATGGAGAGTGTGATGACCGTTTCCGACTTGTTAGCAACCGTCAGCTAGCCATACCCAACCCCAAACCTGGACCACCTGGGGTCCGAACTTGAGTCACGCGGCCACTGAATATCAGGGGCGAGCAAGTTCAATAGCCCGTTAGGCGAACACCCCTCCACCGCAAAATCCTTATTAGATGTCTTATAAAGTAAGTTATTTATATATTAGAACAGAGGTTGCAGGCTTTGAACACCGACCGGAAAAGCATTAAGCATGTGAAGGGCGAACGTAGGCTTTTGGCATGCTACTTTTGTGATTATGTTTCTGATAACAAACTCACACATGCTTGACGAGGCAGTCTTTTCATTCAATACTTCCGACCACAAATTATTTTATAGTAATGACTTTATATTTACACTGACTATCAGGAATGAAAAACAGCCATCCACAGTGCCGCCTGGTAGACAACTGCAATAGAGGCAAATGAGGCATGTGCTGGTTAGAAGACCTTTGGGTTCTACTATCATTGCTTTTATATAAAAACCTCAAAAGTCCCCAAGTTGGCGCGGCGATATCCTGAGCACTGCTCATTATTCGGACTGAATCGTATTAAATCGATTGTCGCGTATTGGCTTTTTTCATGCCCTACAGAAAACATCGCCCATGAAAACTATTTAGAAATTAAAAAACTGGCTACTTGAATACTAAAATTATGGGAACGAAAAGCGGACAGACTTTGTCTATGTTCGTAACGCTGAGTTAGGTGCGGTAGTTCCTATGCCATAGCCCATAGTGGATGTACGTTTCTAAGCCCATGCATCCAACTGTTAACTGATAGAATTCTCGGCGCCACTTGTTGTGGCAAGTGAAGATGCGTTCGTTAGCCTCCAGCAGTCTATTACCCCACTGTTTCATGTGCTCTATACGAAGTTCATGAAAGCGCTTTGCACCCCGATGACGTCCGAATCTCTCGGAGGTTCTACCAGCATTTAGTGGTGGCGGGTTACAGTAGGTCGGCTAACTCATGAAATGTCAACCAAAATGCGTTTGCGTTTCGAAAAAAATAATTAAAGAAGGTTAAAAAACTAATCGTCTTGCAGCGTAATTCTGTAATAATTCAGTTACCGCAGGATGCCGCCTTTCGAAGGATCTTCTCTCCGGCTGCATGCAAAACACCATGCTCGGTTAAAAAGGACTACTTAAATAGTATGCACTTTTCTCATTGATTTTCGATGCCCCTAAATGTCCATTTATATTTCATGGAAGGCATGCATAAAAATATTCATTCTTTTACTTATTCAGTAGAAAATATCATCTTCCAATTTCATACTCGAAAGAAGGGTATAAATTGGTTTTAAAAGAGCTTCTAATTGTAAGAATTTTTAAGACCCTTAAATGCAAGTTAATAAAACTCCGTGTCTCTGCACTTACCATTATGGCTTCTATAGATAACAATATGTCTCAAATTCACTGCCAAATTACATTAACCCCATATGGTGCCCCCTTAATACTGTAGAGAAATGTATGGTTTTCCGTACGCGGCTTGTAGGTTGGAAACCCTGAATGCAAGTGTAACGGTAAATCGTGTTCAAAATTATTCGGGAATTGGATAAATTTTTGAAAACCGAATTATAACCCTCCTTAGAGTATTAACTTGGAAGAAGACGTCATCTTCTGCTGAATGAGCAAAAAATGAATATTTTTGCGCATGTTTTCCATGAAATATAATTTAACTTTTAGGGGCATTGAAAATAAACGAGAAAAATGCATGCTACTTAAGTAGTCCTCTTTTACAGAGCATGGGTTTTGCATGCAGCCGGAAAGAAGTTTTTTCGAAAGCCAACATCCTGAGGTAACTGACTTATTACAGAATCACGCTGCATGGTGTTTTTACTTTTCCAACCTTCTTTGATTAATCTTTTCGACATGAGAACGCATTTCGGAATTTCGGTTGACATTTCGTGAGTTAGTCCAACTAGTGTATTTCGGAAAAGAACAGTCCATACTGAACTCACTTCGTAGATGATGAATTTACCCATCTCTATCCAGGGATAATCCGGAAAGAGGTGACTGACCACCCCTCGACTGCCTGACCGGAATCCGTTGACGGCGATGTGCAAGGCTTCAGGCTCTGCCAGTTTGGATAATTTTCGGTAGAAGGGTCCAGCCAGGGGCGTAAACAAGTCTGCCGGGTACTCCTCAAAGGCCTTAAAGTCTGTCCGCTTGTATGAATGATAGATGAGATCCGCGATCTCCCACCGGCGTAGGGCTGCCGGTCGCACACCATCAAACTGCATGCATACGAGGGCGGCGAAGAAGGTGAGGTGCATTTGCGCCCGCTCAAGCAGTGTTACTGTCCAGTTGAGAGTCGCAGCTGCACTTGTGCGTGTGAGTGTGAGTACTGGTTTATTGATCTGTGGAGTCGCAAGGACGAAGTTTAAATTTTTTGGCTTTTCCCCTGAAGGACGTTTTCAGCAGATAAACAAAGAATAGCGCAAGACCATTAAAACGATGGGGCCGTGAGGCAAGGTAGCCACTGAATTTTAAGTAAGAAAAAAGTGCAAAACAAAGCGCTATAGACCACGATTGAACCTAACGGCATTGATAACATGTGCAGGGCTTATTGCTGTATACACATTTGCACGGAGACCCTGTTCTGTGTTAGACGTGTTTTGGCCTAATTTGAGGACGAGGTCTCACCTGAGACGTAAAGTTTGTTGTACTTTTTGAACAGAGAACAGCCCACTGGATTGCATCACGAATTGACAGTCTCCGGATGGCAACTAAGTAGGGCAATCACATTCTCAGAATAGAAGTGCGAAGTCACCACTGACTTTCTCATACGAGGCGAATGCGGAAAGCCAGCTTTAAAGCTAGTAAGCGATTCCTTACTTATAGTGAGTGACTGATCTCATGAAATTTTAGCCGAGATTCTGAAATGCGTTCTCGACTAGGAAGGACTACATAAGTGGGATTGCAATACTGGTTATCATGCGGCATAGTCCTTTAACCTTTCGGAATTACGAGGCCATCGGCTTTTGAATATACTTTTTTTGACCTTCTTTTGAAACCGCACTTGGTAAAAATGGCTACTTAAGTAACATGCATTTTTCGCATTGGTTTTGTATGGTCTTATAAATTCAAATATATTTTAAAGAAAAAATGCCAAAAATATACCTTTTCCTACTCGTGGTAGAAAATCACGGTGTCATCGCATTTTACATCCAAAGAAGGGTATCGTCCGGTCTAAAAAAGGCTTCTAATTACGAGATTTTTAAGATCGTGCGATGCCCATTCATAAAGCATCGTACCTGGCCGTTTACCACAGCATCTTCTGGAATGTACAACATGATCCGCATTCAGTGCAAAACTTTATGAACTCCATATTGCATCTTCTTAAAAACATGAAGGGTGGTAAGATTTTTCTTACGCAGAACGCATCCAGCCTGTAGACGAAAATCGATAAACAATAATGCAACGGCTAATCAGGATCGACATTATTCGGGAATTGAGACACTCTTTTAAAACCAAAATATGACCTTACTTTGAGCATAAAATGTGAGGACGAAGTATTTTCTACCAAACGCATGTTTTCTATAAAATATGTCTGAATCTATCAGACCATCGAAAATGAAAGTAAAAAATACAGGTTCCAGAAGTAGTCACTTTGACTGGATGCGATTTTTACAGGAGGTTGGAGAGAATTTCATTCAAAAGCAGACATCTGGGCGACTCCAAGATATAATAGGATTATGCAACATAATAAGGAATATTAAAACCCCACCTAAGCAATCCTCCCTAATCGAAAACGCATTTAAGAATTTCAGCAAGCATTTCAGGAGATCGGTGACTCACTGCTTTGAACGATAAACTAGAAGAATTTTCGAAGTGAGGCGTCTTGCCTAACGAATACATCGCTGTTCTTTTGCAGAGAGGGAATAAAGGCTTAGCTTTGAGCGGATTTACCAAGGGAATCTTCGGCATCTCGGACGAGAAGAACGTGCCCTTATGAGTAGCATTCCGAATATTTTTCTGTTCTGTTCTCGAAATCTGCAAACGTTTGTCCAGCCTGTACAAATTTATGTCTGATTAAGATCCGTTATGTACCCTTCCCCTTAAAACGGGTGGCTTTGAACTAAGGTAGAGGCTTATTAGGACTTTGGAAAGGTTAGGGTTAATTTTACAGTTGGGGTTAAGATCAGGGTCACGGTTAAGATTTGAGTAAGGTATGAAGCTTAGTGTTAGGATAGGACAATATTTACCTCTTCCAGAATTCGGCGCTGCATCATCTGTTTTACGGCGTTCGTTCTTATTTCCGTGTCCTGATCGCATGTCTCCCCTCAGTGCAATTAACTACTATAAAACTTTACAGTAGTGATGTTAAAAACACCACCGGAGTGTTCAAGAAAAAAAGAAGGTATTCAGCGTTATTTTGCTCAATGTTCAATTACCTTTGCGGTTCGCTTTGGTGTACCTGGGTCACAAATCAAGGTACGATTTTTCATCAGACTGATGCAGGTATGGCTCAGCAACTGCTCGTTTCCTTCTAATGTATTGTAAATGAAGCCGCGGCAGATTGTCGGGTGTGAACGCAGTCGATGATGCTAGCATGTGTAAACGTTTTTACCCATCATCGCTTTGAAAGATCGGTTGTTGTTAAGAACAGTTCAAGATCATCAAAAACCCTTGTAAAGTACTTCGTTTACCAAGCGCTCTTAGAATCTCATTCATCTCTTAGTCCATGTCTCCAGCTTGAGATTGAAGCGACGAACGGTTCCGTGCAAGTTTTAACGCAAAATTCCAGTCCCATGGCTATTTGTCTAATGCGGTTCACGACGAAACGGCATCTGATTGTTGACAGGATACCTATTCAGCGCTAAAGGAGGGGATTCTACTGCCTAACTGCCGTACAAATTCATTGACGCTTCCAGGAGAGAATATTCCCAGGTACGTGAAGCCGCCGTCGTAAGCGAAGACTTATCCGCGTATCGCATTGTGTGGACGCAGCATCGGAGCTTTGCGCGTGAATTAGCTTAAGTGGGCGGACTTACACAACATCCGCCGCACTCTCTCCTCCCACACTCACCTTGCTGCCATGGTAGGCTGGTCAGTTCGCTTACGCGTGTAGAACCCACAACCTGGTTTTCACATCGCCTGCTAGACTTTCATGAGGGCGATTCGTACAGTATGTGAGCTGACTCATGAAATGTCAATCGAAATCCCGAAATGCGTTGGCGTTTAGTAAAGATTAATTAAATATGGTTGTAAAACTGATCACCATGAATCATAGTTCTATGATGATTCAATTACCACAGAATGATGGCTTGCAAACGAAATTTTTTCGGATGCATGCAAGAACTACACTCTGCAAAAATAGCTACTTATGTAGCATGCATTTTCTCAATAATTTTCGATGCCCTTAAAACTTCAATTATATTTCATGTCTAACGTGCATAAAATATTCATTTTTGCTCATTCGGTAGAAAACTACGTCTTTTTCTAATTCTTTACTTAAGGGAAGGGTATAATGTGGCGTTAAAACGTTTCCAATGGTGGGATTTTATAATACCGTGAAATGGCCGTTCACGAAACGTCATGTCTCTGCATTTACCACTGTAGCTTGTAAAGTTAACAATATGGCTAAAATCTACTGATAAATTTTATGAACCCAATATGGTCTGCTTTTAATACCTTAGAGAAATGTATGGTTTTCCGTACGCAGAAAATATATGATTTGTATTTTGGAAACCCTGAATGAAG